CAGGTGTTCTTTGTTGAACTTGACGCAGGTGGCAATGTTGTTTTGAAAGCAGTGGTTTCTTCCTCGCTATCATCCCAAGAAAACCTTTCTTGTTCAGTCTTTTCCTGATGGTTGAGGCATGAATACTGACTTTAGCCATAGTGAGAGAGGTGTGCAGATCATGTTACTTTGGGGTTCTTTGCAACTTCCTGGATGATTTTCAGGGTTGCTCTTTGGGATATCTTGGCAGGATGAAAGGTACTGGATAGGGTCACCTTGTTATTCAAGGGGCGTACAGGTTAAACCTACTGTAAATAATTGTGCCATTAAATGGAAAGATTGACATTACCAAAAGCTATACCTAAACAACCAGTAGGAGAAAAAAAATAGCTATTGTGTGAGTGGGTGTAGTTCACACAGTTGCAGATGGTGAGCTGAGCAGATGATTATAAATATTGTGTATTTACTTGTGAAGCAATTGCATGATTGCATGTTGTGAAATCTACATACAGTTGTTACAGTTGAAGGGAACACAACAGGTCTACAGTATCATCTGATCATTTTATTTTAGCATTTTGTCAATGGTGGGGGAAAGAACTATAGAAATGCTGCAACCCTTCCTGTTAAGAGTGCAATTGGAAGAAGCTGTGACAGCCTTAAAATTATTCCAGTAGGTCAACTGATGCTTTTCATAAGCCTGTAAATGAACAGTCTCATCTTCCTCCACAGATGTTCAATGTGCTGTCTTGTTACTTTCTGAGAATGAAGCTCATTTATGTACCAGGGCAAGAATGAGCAAAAAAAAATAGATGAGTTTTACTAGGAGCTAGAGTATGAATAATGCTCTAATACAGTTTGCTTCTCATGATAAAAAGCAGAAGAATCCTAAATCAACACAGACTGAATTGAACTAAGTTTGTGGTTTCCTCCAATACATTAGTTGGATTCACCAAATTTAATATAAGGAAGGTCATAATCCATTTAATATTTGTAGGAGATAGAGGCACTGCCTTTTGTGGTTAGAATTGTTCAGTTCAAATGCTTGCGGTTTAGAAAGGTCCGCACTACAATTATAGTAGCTGAGAAAAGTCTGGTTGAAATCTGTAGTATTTAGGCTTATGGAGACTTTAAACCAAAACTACCAGCAGAGGCTTATATTATTTTATATTAAATAGCACATATTTAAAGAATTGGCTTTTTCCTCACAGAGACTGCTGGGTATTGAAACATTGTATTTCGACTTCAGTTAGGGCAATAATGGTCCATTTGAGCAATAATGAGCTGTGAAATGAAATAGAAAGGGAGCCTGGTCTTAACTATTGGATAATGAGTATTACAAAGCTAGGCTTTACTTGCTTTGGAGGCCATTATGGGTTGATTTGAAGTCACATTAAAGATACTCTGACCAAGTGTAAAAGTAACTAAACTGAACTATCGTATTATAAAACAAAGAATTATCATTTCATCTGAAATACCTTAGTCTCATCACCTCAGTCATTTGTGACGTGTATTCTAATATGAGGGGAGGTTATGGGTAGTTATTTTTACTGTACATCCTTATGTTTGCTTATGTTTCTGTTTTTATTATTCGTTATATATTATTTTATTATTATACACAACCCAGGTTTGAACCAGCAATTTTATCAGTTATTCAGGGGAGCACCTTTAGTTTAATGCCAATTAAACCCCCTTCCCAAAAAACAAAAAACAAATTGCCTCTTAATAAAAGAGAGTTGAACTACAATATTTAAGGAAAGAGGCGTTCTTGCTGACGCTACATGCTCTGTATAGAATGGTCAATGGTAAAATATGAATCACAAGTCTGATATTGAGAGTTCATCAGTATCCTTCAAGGAGTATACCAAACATTTCAGAAGAAGCTTTTGAAAATTACAGGATTTAAATATAGAATGTTAATGTGAAATCTTAAATGCATGGTGATGATAATATTTACTTCTCTGAAGAAGGCTCTGCTATTTCACAGACCACTGTTTTGTATGTAACTTTTGATTGCAAATCAACTTCTAATTAAATTCAGTGCCAAGGCACAGAATAAGAAATAATAGAGCAGAAGAAGGTATTTTTGTTCATCAGTGTTGTTTTTATGTCAACTGTGTGTTAATTGAATTTTTATTTACTGTATTCTGCCGGGTGAATTCAGATTTGTATTTATTTGTATGCATTGTTTTTGTCTTAAAACAGTAGTGTATTGAAACCATTAACATAAGGGAATGTTTCATTTGCTGATACAAGCAGAAGATTAAATAAAAACACTTAACAATCACAAAAGGAACAATCCTTTTAATTGATTCTGGAGAAATCACATGTGACAAAAGCTATGTTGGCTGTCTTTGAGATACTGTTGCAATATCGATTGTAACTCCCATTGCTGTGATCAAAGTCTTTTTAACTGGAACCTCATTTGTCAGAACAGCTTTCAGTATGAATAGCTCCGCTTTTTCTACATGCTCAGTGGATGCTATACATCAGCCATGTCTATCTTACTCTACATTACAACTCTATTCTAAATTGACAACTTAAAACACAGAATCACTCTCCCTCTGTGAACAGATACAGACATTATAAATGAGACAGTTGTGTCTCATTTTGTATTTTGATATTGATATATTTTTCTTTGTCGCGGTTGCCTTGTTTGAAAAATAAGAAAATAGTCATAGGAAATAACAGCATAGGTTTTTTTAAATTCACACCAGGGTATCGACCAGTATACAGGAGTATGCTGTGAAAACTGGGGCCAGGATGCTTAGATCTGGACTAGACATTAGATTTTTAGAATCTGTGAAAGAACTGTTTCTATATTTTACTACTTTATTCCACCATTACTCTTCAAATGCAGTTCCATCACTTTACTTTTCCTTTCTTTCAGCTTGGTTTGGTCAGTTAATATCACTTGAATCATATTATATGCATACACTGTCACAAAATATGTACAGTATGCTGATGTATTTGGACTTTCACCGCCTCGGTGCAGAAAGTGCTTGGCGTTTACCATTTGTAAGGCAATCATCTTGATGTGATCAATAGTCTAAAATAAAGTTGACGTCATGAATTAGGTGAGTCATAATAAATGTCCTGATCTAAAGAACAGTTCTATTAATTTAAAAAAATGCCTTCTGTGTCGAGGTTTAATTACAAATGTTTACTGCTGGGCAGCGATTGTTTCTCATGTTCTGATTTCAAGGTTGGAAATTTTGGAACATTACACCAGATTTCCTTTTTGGCCTGCTGAAGTACAGTGCATAGTGTTGGCGTTGTGGCAGATCAGATCTTTGTTGTCTTTAGACTGTATTACAGGATAGGATGCAGCTATGAAGTAAGGGTGAAGTAAGACCATTCAATGCTTTTCAAGATAAAAGCGAAAACAGAAATTGATCCTATGTATTACAAGTAGTCTACTCACAAATACCAGAATCAGGGCTATGGGGCTTCAGGATTTTACTTCTTTCAGAACTGAAAGGGCTGAATTCTGTGTGTTGCAGCCTATGAAGTATGTTGCCATGCACATCTGCAAATAAAAAATTGTAGTTATCAGTTTTGAATGGGAAAATGCATATACTGTACGGATACCAGTGTAGTTAGACAATATTGTGTCACATGAAACCAGGATACATGTGACATAAAAGACTAACACATTCAACATGAAGGTTTAAAGATTTAACCTTAGATCTTCTCCAAGGTTTTAAAGAATTTGGTGAAGTGAAGATATGAAAAGGGTGAATGAGTATGTACAATGTTGTAGTGTTAAAAAGAGAAAGGTTTGAAAAACTGTTTTCAAATTTGTTATTGCTGTCTTTTCCTACATACAGTAACGTTAGCAAACAGTGAGCAATGAGCACAGAATTCACAAAAAAAGGGTGAGCTAATACAACCCCATGAGCAAAAGGGTCAGAACAGCCTCCTTTCCTTTGTAATTTTTTTATTTTTTAATATCCTTTTGTTGCCTAGACTATGATCTGTCTAGATACTATCAAGATACCACATCAGATTAATCAAGAGGAATAATCAAAGTCCTAAGGAGAAAGTATACAACATTTATTTCCACTAACTGTACTCTATCCAAGAATCCTAGATGCAGTTATGTACAGTACCACAGATAATTTATTGATATTTAAAGCCAATTATAGAATTAATTGTGAATGCCCATGTTTGAGAAAACACCTCCCCACACTTTTGAGCTTAGGGTCAGACTTGATTTTAATGATAGGCATGTAATAACGCTTGAGGGAAAATACTGCTGATCATTATTGATAACATCTGGGCCACGCTGCAGAAAGTATTTCCTTTTTTCTCCCAGTACACTTCGCACAAAACATTGGATTTATTTTACTATGCACAATGTGCCTGCTCATTCTTGGCAAGATGGATTAGCTCATGAGGAGCTGATAGTTGAGTTGCAAGCTGACACAGAGCTGGGGACCCTTGGTTCAATTCTACATTACAACTCTAGGGTGCTATCTCCAGAACGTGGTGTTTGTACTGTGTGTTCTCCCTGTGTTCTCTTGGGTTTCCTCTGGGAGCTCTGGTTTCCTCCCACAGTCGAGAGACTTACTGGTAGGGTTGGCTTCTGGGAGAATTGGCCCTGGTGTGAGTGTGAGTGGTGTGTGTGCATTTCTAATAAAATGCATGAGTGTACTGTACCTAAGGTGAAATACCCATGCCACAACAGCAGAGTGAAAATGAAGTTAGGAATACACTGTCTTATACTGTAGAAAATTCTATGAAGTTATTAAATTAATTTTGCAGGATTTTATCGAAATAAAATGCTATTGTAGTATTTGCTAAATTAATTTCTAGACCTACAATAGTATCTCAGAATGTCAGAAGAGTAGCACCTTTAATCTATCAAACAGTCTGAGTGATCACTTGCTACCAATTTTGTTGGAATAAAGCCAACTCTTCATCCTTGTGGCATTGACTTCACAGAACCTGACAGTCTTCTTTCTATAAAACAACTAACAGACTGCACGGCATTCTAATATTTTACTGTTGTTTTTTTACAGATGAAAGAGAAGATGTTCAAAAGAAAACATTCACAAAATGGATAAACTCGCAGTTTTCTAAGGTAAAGTCGGCATGGAGAGTTTTTTTTTTAAAGACAGATCTACAGTATATGTGACAAACTTTAATATGTTGTGCTCTTTTTTTCTTTGTTAAATATCTGACATCATTTTAATGATTTATTATTCATAGTTTATCAGATTTACCAAATTGCGTGTTATGAATTAAATGTTTCAAAATTAATTTGATTTGCTTTTGAACAACATTAAACAAAGAACCAATTTAGATGTGTTAGTGTTCACTTGACAATTAAATATGAGATGCATAGTGGCTTGCCATTAATACTGAAAATCAAGGCTAATAAAATCTTCTTGTGGGAAATACATTGGGAAAACTATTTGCTGCTGATTATGAGAAGAAGGTGATACAAGCTGGGCTCATATTAATGACAGGATTAAACAAAGAAAAAAATGTAACAGTTTTGCTCAAGACAAGTACTTTGTGAATGGAATGTGATGAGTACTAATTAAGTCAACAAGCCATGAAATATCGCTTTTCTTTTTCAAGGGGTTTATTAGATGGCTTATTGTTTCAGTTCAATTCATAATTGAGGACTTAACCTTCTTTAAAATGTAACAATGGAAATGAGCCATTCTTAGCTTGTACCACTTAATTAATTCCATTTCCCCTTAATGGGTTAGGATATCTACAGTACTTAGGTATATACTGTATACTACAAAACTTCTGTATGTCCTTTGTCCCAGCCTGGACTTTACGATAAAATTAGTGCAATGGCCTGTTTCATCAGGGATTTTTTTATCTAATTTCAGCAAAGGTGGTAGACTTTTATTAAGATTTATTAAGATAATATTATTATTTGCACCTGCAAAGAGTGAGAAGGAAGCAGTGTGTGTTCCACGGTGAATCATGTGCAGTGGATGTGTGCCTCTCTGATTAGCTTCCCATTAAATTTCATTTAATAGAAAATATATACAGTATATAAAAATGAAATGCTAATTATTTGAAAGTGAGAGATAATGATGTGCAATTCTTATCATTTGTGTTTTGCTTACTTTTTACTTCTCCCAGTTCCTGCCTGGGGAAATAAAAATGAAAATGAAAGATTCACATCACAAATAGGTTAGGTACAAAAGACAGAATCTGTAATGTAGCAGACTAAAATATTGGAATAACAACAAAAATTGGAATTATGCAACACATTTCTACAAAAAATAAATTTTATGTGCAGAAACAATGAGTGAGGATTTCCTTTATGAAAATAACTTGTACTGATGACCTTTAATTTTATTTAAAAATGTCCCCATTCTCTATTGGCATATTTCTATAGACATTTTAACTTTTTAAATGGGTTTAAGCAGGAAAAACTGGAAAGATTTGAAAAGAAAAAAACATTGGCTTCTGAATTGTGTTCCTTTGTGATTCCAGTGCCCATTTAATTCAATTATGCTACTAATGAAGTGAAAGTGGGGCAGTGTGTTTTGGTGATGATTTTAAAAGCAACAAAACCCATCAGGTATCAGCAATGGCTTCATTTAACAAGAGCAGTTGTTGTAGAAGGTTTTTAAAGTGTCTGTTGCTCTGAATACAAATGAGCAAATTCTGATGCTCGTATTAAATTATGCGGTGCTAAAACACTCTACTTTTAAATGAGAATGCCATTTGACTAATAACAATATTTTCTGTTGCAAAACAGTGGGCACTTAAAGTTAAAGTGCTTTCAGATTTAGAACTATCTGTACTTGCACTGTTGTTCATTTGTAATACATAGGAGATCACAAAAGTGTGACAATAATCATCCAGGCTCCCAGTAACGTTAATGTAAGAAATGTTTTTCACCAGTAACATTTTTGGACAAAATCATTTTCAAATTTTAGATCAGATACAGTAGCTCCAAACATACACGTTTCTAGATCAACTTCAACATCCAGTTTCTTTTTAATTTTGAATATTCTTTTTTGGTGACGGGACAGCCATTGCTATGTTTTTCATGCCTCAGCTACGGACCCCACAACCCCTTACAGGCCTTTGAGCCCTCGAGGGGGAGGAGGTTCAGTGCCAGCGGGTTGAGAGCTTCTGCTCAGGAGGCCACAGACATTGCTGTGTTGGCCTGAACTTTGGAGGTGTTCAAGCATCTGTGCAGCTCCGCTAGAGGAAAGCTAGTCACAGCAGGCTAGTAACATGACCAAAGCTTGAACCCCCGGGCACCAGGCATGTCTTTCACGTTACTACAGTATGTCATGGAAAGACAAAACAAGTGTCCAATTCTTATATTGTAGAGATCATACCAGTGTAAAAATATTCTTTACACATAGTAAATTATAATGAGTGCAATTAATTTCTTTACACATTTACAGTAAATACTATGGCACGAATCAGAAGGTTTATGCCTCTAACAGATTCCAGTTTTGATACATATTTAGATATGATGCAGCAACCTTAATCTTCATGAAACAGTGAAACTTGACTTCTCAAATTCATGTTCTCTTGAATACTGCTGATTTATCATACAGAATGACCTTGTCTATATAGGGTATACTGCACATAAAGATTAACAAACTATACCCATACTTTTCCAATTTGTACTGCAGATATCAAAAGTAATGTACAGTATGTATGTACTGTATATGCCCTGATACATATTTATGTATATACTGTTGTCACCATAATCAATATTGTTAAAAAATAAAATTGAGAATATTGTCCTCCAAGGCAACATTGCCAGAGCTCTTTAAACATTTTGTAAGAGGTCTTCAGGACACAGAATTGGAAAGAAATTAAGTTTTGAAATGTTTTACATTTCAAATGCACTTACGATTTACTGATGCATGATAGCATAATTTGCATCAAGTTTGCAGAAGCATTCGAAATTACAGTACAAGTTCAAGATCTTGGGGTTCCTTTAATCAAAATAGATCTGGAAATTAATTTAAAGAAAATCAAAACTGTGTTTAACAAATACAGTAGGTCCTTCCAAGGGAAATTGAAGTAAATGGCGTCAGGCTACAAGAGGTCAGCTTTAGGGCAGATATCATCAACAGGAAACTACATGGTGGAAGTAAAGGAGCAGAAATGAACTAGATTGCCTTTGGGAGTTTCAAAATAATTGTAAAGGGCACAATGGTTTTCAACCTTAATACATTTTGACCAGTGTTTTGTGCCTCTGTTAAAATGGATTAGAAACCTGCATGCCGAATGCAAACTGATATAGAATCTAGAGTGCAAAGAAGTGAGGAAAATGCATGGTTGGAGCAACAAGAGACAGAAAATGAAATAAATGTGTGAGAGTGCACTGTATCAGCTGAATAAAAAAGATGTGCACCTAGACAATCTGATCACTGGACCAGGAAACTACTGAGCTGGATCTGCAAGACTCAAAAATTAACCAATAAGATGATCTCCTGTTAACTGGCAAGATTTAGTCAGCAGGAGCAAGATGGATCAGAATAGTTTCATACAGAAGTCTGTGGAAAAATCTTAGAGAGGCTGTTATCCAGCAGTGAATTGATTAAGACATAACATGCTGATGATTTACAGGAACCATATATACTGTACACCAGTTTACACTACAGCACAATCACTCATAATGCAGTGCATTTATACATTGTGTTTGTCTTTATGCACGTGGAATATATAATTGTGTGTTATGGTAAACAGCTTGGTTAGTCTAGCAAATTCATTGTAAATTGTGGTTTACTTAAGTACAGTATGGTTTAAAAGTTTCATATACTGAGATCCAGCCATTTATGTTACTTGTAAAGTGTATTCTGCATTTTCTTGAGTTCCCCTATTTCTCAGTGTGAACACAACATGTCGGTGATATTGTGCGTGTTTTTATATTAATGTTTAATAAAGCGATGATAATGAAAAATGTCTTTTTAAAAAATCACATTTTAAAGAAAATTATTATGATGAATGAGTCACTAGTGTTACTTGAGCAAATGGATCTCTGGTGAGCTATATCTTTAATTGATCTCCACACTGCTGAGATCAAATGTATCTGAGCCCTTCACCGCCCACGCTCCTCGTGAGGTAATAGCTTTATCGACAAAACAGGACTTCGGCAACGATGTACGTGTCTGCTGCCTCCAAAGAGCATAAATAGGAGAGCCAGTGTGGGTGAGAGGTGAAATTTAACTATGTGATTTCTCCATATCAGCACTGCAATAGACACAGGGAGGTTTATCGCCTTTGCTGAAAATTCCCCATCCCTGGACAAGAAGTAATTATGTGAGTCATAGTGCAGTTCAGATCCACTTTGAGATACTATACAGACTGACTACATACTGTACAGCTCGAGTAGTAATGTTTTGAATATTTAATGTAAACTATGTACAGTATAGCTGCAGATCTCACGCCTCCTTTTTTGTTGACCACTTAATTACTTTAAATCGAATTAATAAGAAAATACAAATCCCCAGAGTAAAATGACCTGTTTTATATTGTGTCTCCTTGACCAATTGATGTCAAACTAAAGAGTTTCAGGCACCAGATTACATTTAAAAATTTAATTATTTCTAAACAAAAGCAACATTTGGTAACTGAATTACTAATATTGTCAGTAATGTTTTGTATTCTGTAGTACAGAGGTCTCCTTAAGCTTCTGAGGGGATGTTTTGTGTCTTTCTTTAATTTCTTCTCCTGAAGTTTATATAGAGTAGGCACCTAGTGTTACAGTTTATAATTGACTTCAATGAACATGAGAATCGTTATAAAGAGAGGAGAGTATTTGACCCATCTAGTCTTTTTGGTAGTCAACAGCTACTGTAATTGATCCAAATCTATCATACAGCTGTTTCTTAAAAGAAGCTAGGGTATCAAGCTTCATCTGGTTAGATGATTCATAATCCCAAAACTCCTAAGGAAGTGACATCTCTGATATAATTTTAGCAAAACTTTCACACAGTTTCCGTTTGTGTCATCTTGTTTGTGTTTCAGTGTTTATTTTGAAAAAGTCATTTGAGTTGATTTTGCCAATGCCTCTGAGAATTACTGTATGATTAAGTCCCTTTGCAGTCTTCACTGTTCAAGACTTAAATATTTATT